CAATCTTTACGGTGTCCCGACTTATTCATTGAAGGTCATTGACATTAAATTTATTGGTCCCATATTTCATACCTTTCATAAGATGTTCTATTTCTTACCGTTTAAGTAACTTTGAATAGAGAGATTCTATATTGTACATAAATACGTTAGAAGTGTTATGCATGTTGGCGATTCTCTCAAAAACTACGACTCTCAAATATACTTTTAAAATATGTTTAGGTTCTATATATTAATTAGTACATAAATATTATGTGAATATTTAAAATTCAGCGTTGTTTTTTGGCAATATGGCAATAATAAAGATATTATTTTTAAATGGATGTATTCCGAAATTTAATATTGCAACATAAGAGAGGGTTATTTTAATAGCACTTTAACAATACAATGAAAAAGTATCACATAGTTATTTTCTGTGAAAAAATACTGATAAAAAGGAATATTAAAAATGGATACTTATATAAAATGACTTTTAAACAAACAAGAAACTAAACAGTTTTAAACACAAGATTATAATTCATCCAACAAATAAAAACGTTGACATTTTCAAAATATTCCATTATTCCAGCGCGAATGAAGCCAAAGCTTAAAAAAAAAACGGTTCTAGAACCAATTCAGTACTTCTCGGAATACACTCGCATTTTATTTTATCTTGTATCAAGAGGCCATTATCTTCGTGAAAATAAAAGAAAAAAAATATTTTTCTAATAAAAGCTATTACGTTGAAAGCTTTTACTTAAGTCGGACTGTTATTCTCTGCAAACCTTTCATTATGTTAGCTCATAATATAATAACTCTTAATTTGTCTACAAACCGTTTGTTTGACCAATAAATGTATTTCATACTCTTAATATTTAAAAAATCCATTTTATGAAATTATTTTTCTATAATAAAATAATTCGGACGTAATAACTATGCCCCGCTTGAATTAAAATCAATTAATAACTGAAAAGAATGTATTATTGAGACAAATAATGAGATCCAAGATTTTCGCGAGTATTCATTGATCATAATCATCAGCCTATCAGAGCTCACTGCTGAGCAAAGGCCTCTTCTCATATGGAGAAGATTTGAGCATTATTCACCATGTTCGCTCAAGACGGGTTGGCGATTTCAAACTTATAATTTGAAACTATAAGACCAAGTTTCCTCACGATGTTTTCCTTCACCGTCTGTCAGTGGTGATATACTTTTAGAAAGTATATATGACTGAAAAAAATCACATTGGTACTTGCCAGATTTTGAAACCGCGGGCTCAAGAATGAGAGGCGAGGCTTTAACCACTAGGCCACCACTACTTATTCATTGATATAAAATTAATAGTTTTAGGATTTGTGAGGCGTATATATATATATACAAACATACTCCCGACATTTTGGCAACCGTGATCACGGGCAGACGAGATGTGAATGTCGGTCAGTTTATATTGTTATCGAGGCCCGGGCGGGTTGTTGTATGCGACCGTAATAATGAATAGGAGTGATACGAGAGAAGATAGCTGGAATCAATCCAACACCTGGGACCCCATCATTGAAAATATAAAATCCTGTGTCCTTGACCACATCACTAGACACAAGACAGAGTTCGCGCATATTGCAGGCATTCAGAGCGGTACGCCAGAAAATTGAGAAATGAATGGCGGTAGATGACAAATAACAAGACCAACTGACAGACATTCACATCTCGTCTGCCCGTCATCTCTGTTGCTGAAAAGTAACCGAACCTCGAGAGTATGTTGTTAAAATAATTATGTATTCGTTGTAAATCTGAAAAATATTACTTTTATTTCAATATTTAAGCAAACCTAACTCTACTTTAAATGTGTTTACTTACATGAAATTTTCTTTTAGGCTTTCAAAGAATTATTGAATAACAATTTGTTTGAATAACATTAAAATTCAACAAAGGTTACTAGGAAATATTGTAAACTTTTTTTTTAAATTTAAACTGCAAGGGACATATTTTTTTAAAACTTCAATTAGTTTTTCTTACTTATATAATTCATTACATTTATTTATGTTTAGTTAAAAAAAAAATTCAAAAAATAAATAGTTATACATTTCTCAAATGTATATGTAGGAATACAAGATAACAATGGATAGATGGATGGGCCATAATTCAAGGCATGAAGTTCTTTTAAACTGAATAATAGTTGAAATCGGATATAATTAGTCCAAGGACCAAATTACAACACCAGAATAATAATTAATTCGTTTTCACAAATTAATTATCCAAAGAGTCAAGGTTAACAGGCTAAGTACAACTAGTGCACCGCGCCACGTCAGAGCCAAGACTCCCTTCGAATCATCGTGCACGTCTTTTATACAGCTAGTAGTGGGGAGAGTGGGGCATCGAATCACGCGCTCGGTGGCGTGATCGGTGCACGTGTTGGTTATAGTTATGTTTAGTTGGCGCGCTAGTGCCGACATATACATATATAAATTGCAAATTGTCTGAGTAGAAATTCATTTTATCTGTTTATATGTTATTCAAGACGGAAAAAGAAAAAATAACGTTTTGATTCCGACTGGATTTTACTAGCGGCTTCCTTCAAAAGTTTCTCTAATTGTTATATTGTATAATACCTTTATTAACCTTAACTGTTCCGGAAGCGAGTCAACTGTCTTATATAAGATATAATTTCAACCAAAAACCTTCCCACTATATGTAAGATTTACGAAACAATTGACTTACAATACTCCATGTAGCAACTTCAATTACATCATATAAAACAGTGTACATGTCTGGTTTCATTCATATTAAGGAAAACCTCTATTAGTGTGATGAAACACTGGCTATTTTAACCAAGTTATTTGGAGTGTTCTCGAACATACCGCAATAACATTGTCTGTTTGCGACCCTTAAGTGTATTTGAAGAATAATATTTGTAACAGCGAGAACAATGACGTTACAAAATGGTTAAAATATAGTAAAAACTATGTTTTTATAATAAAATCTATTATAAAGTGTATTGGAATATTGGAATTAGCTTGAGGGAATGGGGTTAATAAAATATTTTACATAAAAATTCAACATTTAATTTCATAAACCAGTAGAAGTATGACTACAGTACAGATTCACAGTTTAATGACACTACATCTCATATAAAAATAAATAGTTCAAATCCATTGAACTGACCATTTAATTTACTGTGGAAAATTAGAATGCAATACATAAAACTCCAAAGCTGTTCCACATCTAAAGTTTTACTTAAGATAATTATTTAAGGTGATAGAATATAATATACTTGATTACATTAAAATGTATCAATACAGTACATTCTTGTTCATTTGTTCTTAATAAAGTATTTTAGAATAAGAAAGAATTCCGTCAGATATGTAATGAATACCTTTTTTATTAATAAGTAAATGCTCCAAATCACCTAACAATAATGATCCGCTAAGATATATATTTCATAGAAGTAATTGATAATATATTTTAAGATATTTGGACATCTTATAAATACGCATAGTTTCATAGCAAAAGTCTATACATAAAATTATTTCATATAAAATTACTCACAATAAGTTATTTTAATTTAACATTTATATTGTATAAATAAAATTACATTCATTCTAAATGAAAATATAAAATAGTAGGGAAAAAAAAGAAAACTTTCATTACAAAGTCTGAGTTATTTACATATGTAATATGTTGGCCATTAGCTTTTTACTGGCATTCACTTTTCTAATGGATAGCAAATATAGCTAAAGCTTCCCTTTTAGCATCTTTCAATGAAACTACAGCAAATGAAATATACGGTCAGATAAGAACTCTTATTTCCATTCTTGATATACATATATCCGTACTTATATACATATATTAACATAGTTTGAAAAGGTATTTCTTAATTTTTTTCGGAAGTTTATACAAATATAAGCATTCTAAGCGGATAGTTAAATTAAAGAAATACCTAAAATATTTTTATCTGTTTATTTTTGATACATATAGATAGATTTTTTTAATATTTTATATTTAATTTAACCATAATTTAAAGCTTCATTTTCATCTTACATAGACATGAATAACAATTTACAATAATTTTAATCTTGAAATTTTAAACAAAATAAGAAATTGCATGAAAGTTTCTCTACTTATTGTCAGACACGAAAAGAATGTTCGGAACATTCGCTACAAAACATAAATTATGGGAGTTGCAAAATAATATTTAATATTCAAGGAACATATAATATGGGAATGAATATAAATATTTTTTCCACATATTCTCTCACGATATTTAAAACTTATACAATAGAAGACAACAGTTATACTTATTACGAGTACATCTTAAGATTAATATGTACATGATAAAGATCAAGTCTTGAATTGAAATGTGCGTTTACATTAAGAGATAAATCTTGTCTATTTAATTACAGAGATTCTTGTTACAAAATACTTAAGAAATGATGTAAGAAACACATGTCAAGATATCAATGAACGTATGTGATACTAACATTTAGGTATAACTAAGAAAAATCTACGTAAACACTAAATCATCTACAAATTATATATATCTATGTTAAACAATCATAATCTACTGAATACATATACTCTAAGAGTATTTCAACAGATAAAATATTTTCTTCTGTAATAAACATTTACTATGCCACCGATAACATTCTAATCACAATAATCTATAACTAAAGTTTGGCATCATTAGAACCGTATCTAAAACATCCTTTACTGATTTTCATTGTCGATATTATATACCTTGTAGTTATCCCTTCATCTGTAACAAAAAATCTATTCAATCTTTTTAATCTTTTACTATAAAAAGGTATTTTTTGTTCACAGTTACATACGTAAGAGTCTGAATTCAAATATTCAAAACTATAAACGTAATATTTTTATATGTTTTCTGTATATGTGTAGTGAATATTACAAATAGTAAATACAATATAACGACCAATGAGGAGAAATTGAACAGAAACCCTAAATTGTTGACTAAATAACATATACATATCCAACAATTATTCGTATAATTACTTAATTCAAATCAACGCTTACCTTTAATCTAATCTGTACATTCAATAGGCCTAATTTAAATGCATATATATCGTATATTGATCTTATAGATAGACAATAGTTATATTGCAATTAAATTGAATAAATTAATCATAACGATAAATACCTTGTATTCAAACAGCTTAGCGGTGTATTCTGTTGTTCGTTAGCTGGTAAATTGATATTTGTTGGAGGGCTTTTGTTTAGGGGATACCATTGTGCTACAGGTTTCCTTGCATTATCCAACATCTCCAGCCAATGATCGCGTCCGATTCCGATTAATGACGAACCGATTGCCGTGCAACCGATTAGCTCGTTTGGACCAATCCTATGGTATAATATATAGTATATGATATAGTATATATTTAAATAAATTGGCTTTGATGATACAAAGTAAATAGCTTACGATAAATTTAATAACCCAAAAATGGGTGACAAACTTTTATGAGGCATATTTATTAATATTTAAAATGATAAAATATTTTGAAATGTCAATTAGTGAAGCAATAAGGGTAAAATTAAATAACTTCAAACTAATTTGAAAATATTTTGGAACATTTATTGCTTATTTTACTAATTTTGTGCTTTACTAAGACTTGAAATTTTCGAGTATCCTTCTAGCCTTATATATCATATAATAAATCGTATATAATATCAAATGTATCGGTTTAAAAAAAGCTAGTCCCAAGGTCTATTATATTTTCCAACTAATCTGGGTCAGCTCTCGTTAAAAGAGGATCATCCTGGCAGACGATCGAGTTTAGTTACATAAAGCTATTTGATGCTCACCCATGCAGTGACTTTTGGGAACTTTTTCAATTTACCTGTTGAGCTTAAAAGGATTGAGGTTTTATATTTTTCATTTTTACCTAATTATGTTAAATCTACATACAAAAAAATCTTCAAATCTTTTCATATAATAAAAAATAAAATTGTAGAATAATATAACAAATAAATGATGAAATAGTTGCTAAACTTTTACAAAATTACATTGACGTCTTATAAGTTAATACACTTTTTAATGTAAAAAGTGGCAAACGAGCAGACGGCCCACTTGATGGTCAGTAGTGACCGTCGCCCATGGACATCCACAACATAGATGTTGCGGATGCGTTGCCAACCATACTTGTGGGGGAAAAGGGAGGGGTGGGAAAAAGGAAATATAAGGAAAGGTCGGGAACAGGGAAAGGGCAACCGGCTCTCTCACTCATCGGACGAAACGCAGTCATTATTGACTACTTCATTACCGATCTTCTGTGAGAGGGTGGTACTTCCCCTGTCAAGCCAGCCCATATTCGAGCCGTTGTAACTAAACTACAGCTAGGCTCTACCACCTCTGAAATTTGTAAATTACAATCAGCCATTTACTTACAGATCATAATCGATGACCTTGACAAGTAGAGTGACGTCATACACGTTTTCTGCGGGTAGATCAAAAACTAACGCCTCATTATACACCGGACTGAGCGTATTTTTCTTGACAGTAGTTTTCTTCTTCTTTATCCTTTTCCCTTGACAGTTCAGGCAGATTTTGACGTACGGATCTGTTCAGAGTAAATTTATATTACTTTTCTAATTGATATTATTATAGTATTAGAAAAATAAATGTATATTAATTTATATCTGATTTAATTTAATAAAATGTAATAAGGCTTGTTATTAAAGTAGATGAGGACTTTATTTATATTAAAGTTTCTAATATATTTTTAATATACCGCGACGTTTTTCTCCAAGGTCTTTGATAATTAATTTATAAATCTTCGAGGCCATACCAAAATTACATTTTTAAAAGGTCAATATTAGGTTCGGTGATGCAAGTCTGGTCACTCGTTTGAGAAAATATTTACGTATTTTGCTATATTTAGAAATTCTTTAAAGGCTGTCTCTTGCTTATAGGAACATTATGTTGACGTATTATATTTCGAATCGAAATAAAAAAACAGCTCAAAAAAACTTTACTTCTTTGGGCTACAGAGAAATATTTTATTTTTTAAAGACAGAATTATAAACTGTCTAATAAATTTACCTAAAATAGTAATTAGAAGACCCAAAAAAAATCCAAACGATCGAAAATAAATAAGATTTATATGTTACAATAATAGTATTGGAATCCTAGTAAATAGAAGCAATATACTTTCCTTCAGTAAATTTGGATTATAATTTTATACGTATTAATATTAATAGCAAATTTGTAATTCAGATCACCTGATGATCCATTAATGTCCATTGCCTTCAGGTTTCTGCCTTTGATAACGGTGACAGTAAGTCTGCCCGCGGTCGGCAAATAACATAGAGAGAGCATCAACTCTCCCAGGTCCTTTTTCTCCTAAACGAAATCATAATACCATTTAAAACTATTACTATTATATGGAAAAAGTATTTTACAAAAAAAGTAAAATGTATGGTGGGTATAGAATAAATTTTCAAGTATGAACTCAATTAATTAGTTATTTTCTAAATGTGACGTATTAGTGTTTTCACTTAGGTTGTTGGGAAAATAATGTTATAGGCGATAAAATTGCCTTCGTCATACTTGTTGTGAAGTTTCTTTGTATTCTTATGAGCTTTAGGTAATATATACTCTTAAGTTATAAGTTGATTATAGTATATATCTATTAGACGAAATTACTAAGCATTCCATGGATTCACCGTGCGGGTGCCGGGTCCATCGCGTTGCAGGGAGAGGAGCTTCAACAGTGCCTGGGACTTGCGACCCAAGTGTAGGTTTAAGGGGCCCCTTAACTAACGCGCGTTATACGCTCACCTCCACTGTCCAAGCTCCTCTCCCTACCTAACCAAATTTGAAAAGAACCTACTAGGGCTGCCTTCGATATACGTTCCAAGAATGCATTAATGTGAGTTCTGGACAAGCCCAAGTCCTTTAGTAGGTTGTAGAGAGATTTCGCTGTTATACCTCTCGCTCCCACCTCTACCGCGTACAAATCTACTACGAACCTATTTCGAGTGAGTTCGTTTGTGAGCTCGTAATATTTGTTGACCTTGATGGTATGGTCTTTGGGGATGTTGGTTTCCCAAGGGACCGTAAGCTCTATCATCACTACGCGCTTTAGAATTCGCGAAAACAAAAATATATCCGGTCTGGAGACCGACGCACAAATATTCTCGGGGATTTTATATTGCTTTTCATACGTGTCCATCATTATAGTCCAATCCGACGCCGCTTTAAGGATGGAGTAAGGCTTGACGTTTGATTTTGTAGCCCTAGTGCCTTCTCTCACAAAACCTACTGATCGTTCGTTTGTGGTTATTTCCTTTTGCGCTCTGGCTACCGAAAGACTAACATATATTTCAACATCTTTTACGTATATATTTTAACATACACAATTCTAACATGGAATCTGTGTCTGCAATCGATCCGTTAATTAATACACGCCAAAAAATTAGACTATTAAACTTGGTCATGACTGTAATCGCTTAGTAACAGAAATATTGTAAATACTACTACTAGTATATTTAAATCATTAATTAAATAAATTTCAATGCCAGAAATCAATGTGAATTGCGAATCACTTTAATGTCATTAATGTGTCTCGAAATTAAAATCGCACGGAGATGAGGGTACAAGAAACCATTAATCACACCAGGATCTTATTTAAGACAGGTTAAGCCTTCGTCAATCTGGCACAGATTTGATCATAAATCATTTAAATAATATTATAATTACATAGTAATTACAACAAGTAAAATTCATATCACAAAAATATTTTTACTGACACCAAAATCAGATGAGTCTAAAAATGTTTGAATAATTGTCATCAATTAAGGACTTGCTGGGACTAGGCTGAATTTTTAAAGTCTTTTGCTAACAATAATACTCTTCAAAGTATAAAAAAATACCAGTAAGGCCTCTTATTTTATTTTAAAGAAGATAATAAGGACAAACAATTAGAGTGACAGAAAAACAATTTGCAGAAATAAAATTAGTCAGGAGAAGTTTTTATAACAAAATAAGATGCCCGCTAACTTTAACGTAGACTTCTAAGAAAATCTGCTCACCTGAAATTGGCAGTGAAAGTACCTTGAACTGTACTTGGGAAATAATAACGCTCCGAACTTCACTTCGTACTTAATTTTTATTCATAACGTCTAAATAAGTGTTAATGTTCAACAAAATACATTTTCAGTAAGAAAAGTTACATTATATTATAATGCATTTATTTGAATTAAATCTAAGATAATTTTTTTAATTTTCTGTATCGATACGAAAGACTTCACTATCGACAACTTTTTTTTAAGCCATATCTAATTTTTATAAAATCATTTCTATATTTTCAAGATGAAAAAAACGAAATATGGTAAATATCGAAACGAAATCGTTATAAATTGATATACTTAAAAACACACAAATATGTACATCTTAAATATACGATTACCACTCAATGTAAAATCATTGAATTAGTTAATAAAAATATTTAGTACATTTGAATATTAATTAACTAACCTGTGGTGGCGCCAATATGTTCATAGTGTAAGCAATCTCTTGATGCAAATCAGCTGATTCAAGGAGTCCCTTTAACACCACGTGTCCAATCAGGTCATGACGACTGAAGCGATCGAAATCGTATACGGAGAATTGTAGATAGCGTTGACGAAGTTCTTCATACGGAACACTAAGATAAAGACAAAATAATAATTCATTTCTTAGGGGTTCAAACAAATTCAAAATAACCATAGATAGGTTTTATTACTACGATAAATAATAATGAAATAAAATTTGGACAGTGTACTTCAAGTATCTTAACCTTTAAATATGAATTCAATAACAGAGAATTATAACACAAAATCTTACTAACTACTCATCGGAAAGCTTGTGACACTAACGAGAAGTAATAAGAATACTATTTAATTTGTTTTTGTGCCAAGTAATCTCGGTAGGATCTAATTGCGGAATGCAATTCTTGCAAATCTCGCTTTCAAAAGATTTGAGACATTAATTGTATCTAGAAACTGCTAGAATAGTGCTTGCTTTTATTTCTTTAGAACTTAAAAATGCTTTGACCAATTTGATAAAGGATTTTTTATAAAACATTTCAACAGAAATAAGAATAATAAATATTTAGTAAGCAATTTATTAAGTGAAAATCATTGAATTATTATAGACACGACGTAAGATTAATTGTCCAACTCTTGGAAGTATTGTAAGTACTTTCAGAAAGTAGAATTAGCTATTACTTTGTCGGCTATTATTTTTCTGAGAAGAACCAAAGATAAACAAACACAAAGAGAGCGTTTCCAGTAATTGTAGAACTTTCTTTCCCTAACAAGAGGTATCTGAACGGCTGTAATATACTTTGTTAAGTAGTTTTAAATTAATAAAACACTTTATCCATTAATTAATTATAGAGGTTTATTTATTATTAACTTTAGTAGAACTGAAACAAGACATCACTCTTAAAATTAAAGATAAACACAAACACAAACCGCAGAACAAACACTATCGTACTTCCAATTGTTTGTTCATAGATAAAGGTCAGCGTTTGAAGTTTAAGGAGACTAATTCACTAAGAAATGCGTTACATATGTAATAAAACATAGGTTAACGTTGTAAGTGAAAGAATTTTTAATAAAAATATAAGTAATGCCATCAATTTGTTGTTAATTAAATAACAGCTTAAAGTCCGAAGTATTTTTTTGCAAAAATCATGAAATTTCTTACAGAAGACTTTAACATTACAGGGTCGGCATTAAAAAGGTTGTTCGTTTTATATGTAAGTTTACAATTGAGGTAAATAATTTATGTTACACGTGGCAGCCCTAAAGATACATGAACTAAAAGACTTAAGACCTCCTGTCTCCTTATAAAATGTTGCCTTGCCCTACCTAGTAATGCTTTAATAAAAACATTACTGCTCTAGCAGGGTAATTATATATAATTGCTTCTTATTCGTCAAATGTTTACAATTTAATACATATGATATCTTTTACCAATGACTATTTGAATTTTACTATCTACAAAACATCCGCGACACTTAACTTTTATTAAATTGGAGAAGAAAATAATTATTTCTTTTTAAATGTCCTAATTATAATTCTGTATAATAGCAATTTCATATTTTTAGTTAAAGTTACATAGGCTGTCAACATTCTTTTAAATTCACAAAACGGGACATTAAAAAGTCCTATCTTATTAAACCCCTCATTTTGAAAAAATGCTCCAAAATACTTGTCATGTTTAAATAATATTAAAAATACAATTTCGTGTCTCACAATTTTTTTGGACTACAACAATAATAATAAAAACTGTAATATTTTAAAAACGATAAACAAAAATACGGTAAGCTGAAAGAAATCAAAACTTGCATTGAGGTGTACGAATGAGTTCTTAGATATTTTTATTTTATACAATGACATTTTGATGGGACGAAAAAACCACGTACTTACCTAAACAAGAAAGTTTCATTGAAGACGGGATTCAAATTTTTACGATGCACTTTCGTCTGGAATTTCTTCTTACGGTCTGGTAGCAAAAACACCTTTATGTAAGGATCGCTACTCCCGGACACGTCCTTAATTGGTAAGTCCCGAGCTTCAAATATCTAAAATAATAAGTCTCATTAAATTTTTCTTTACCTTTATTAACTTTACAATGTAAAATCAAAAAATAAAACCTTATTATTATACCAGACTGTTTAAACGAATGTAATATACTTAAAAGTAACAAATGAGTTCTACTTTTGTTGATATTCTTTTAACTTGATAAAAGTTTAATACACATTGATCATATATTACTTTACTTCCCAATTTCCTGTAGTATGTATTGCGAAAGGTAAACTGCTTTAGGGCAAGTCACTGATATAGAAACCCTTAACCACCTACGGGCTATCATTACCAAAAGTTCTAAACGTTACTGGTATCGTAAATATAAACTTATGTAGGCTAAAGTAATAAGGAAAAGTAAATGTGCGATCGACTCCTAAGTTAACGTGAAGCGAATTGAATTTACAACTCAAATTTTATATAATATACGAGTATAAATTTGATTTTATAAAGATAGCCGATATCAGTTTTGTTTGAAGATATTCTTATTTAAATAACATAACAGTATTTATTTAATTACGACAATTATGTATAAATCTGCCTTGAGTGAAATAAATGAAAATTTTACATACTTTTGAGACTTAAAACTTTTTTTTAATATTTTTTAAGCAGAATAACGTTACCTTTACGACCAAAGCCTCAACTTCTTGATCATACTTCAAAGCGAAGTGGAGTTTTCCGCAAAATTCAAGTTCACCGCTATCAGTAGAAGATTGACGCACAAGCTCGTTCTTGTATAATTCCGGCTGAGGATAAATAATTATATTAAAACCTCAAGCTTGAGATTGAAAGGAAGATAATATTCCTTGTTAAAAAAATATTCATATTTACCAATGAAAAGTATATTTACATCGGAATAGTTTGTACAAAGATTTTTCAAGTATCCGTATATCAAGTCGCACCCTATACAAAACCTTTATTTTATAGACGCAATTTGATAGTATAAAATAATTTTTGCTGATCATTAAGTCTTGTTATTTTTAACAAGATCTGTATTTTTTTGTATAATTTATTTACATATTTGTCCATATCATAAAATATATAACTATTTCATTCATTAAAAAAAATATTACTCAATGAATTACACTCGTCAACATTCCTACTAATATTATAAATGCGAAAATAACTCTGTCTGTCTGTCTGTTACGCTTTCACGCCTAAACCACTGAACTGATTTTAATGAAATTTGGTACAGAGATAGAGTTAACCTTGAGAAAGAACATAAAATAGTTTTTATTCCAGACTTTTGAAAGATTCTCTTGGAAACGCGATATAACCGAACTCCACGCGGGCGAATCTGCGGGCGGAAAGCTAGTAGAATTATAATTAATTTTTTTTTTTACATAGTTGTTGTTCATTAATATTATATATTTGTACAGTATGTTAACATAAATAACTAGATCACGAATCCCTTGTAATTTCTGTGATATAAATAGATAACTGGGTCTGTGTTAATTAGAACAGAAATAAATATCGGAATCTAACACGTAGAAATAGTAATTTCAGGTGGGCTATATCACAAAAAAATATTATTCATTATAAATATACGGACTTATCATAGATATAAATAATATTATTCATATCATAATTTTTGTTTCAGATTAAATTGACTTGACAAAATTTAAGTCTACATTGTTTTTGGAAGGAAAAATAACAAAGGAGTGTTTATTTTGTTAAGTGCTTTAATTTTGTTATATCATTTTCTAATATTTTGAGAACAGAATATGAAATATTGTAAAAAATTATGTTTAACCATAACTTAATTTTTGGCATATGAAAGAATTTAAAAATGGGCATAAAGATAAAAAATGTTAACCATTCATATATTTTACAGTTTCGATAGAAAATCGTACATATGATGAAGCCACAAATGACATTGCACACTATTAGAGATACGATATATGTACATAAATGAGCGTTTTTTTAAATTAAAAGACTAAAATAATCTATTATATCAATTTTCTTAGAATTCGCTTCTGAATTTCGCGGTAAAATGATACTCCATGAAAATGATCCATCCTTTTTTTAAGTTAAATTAATTATATGTATTTAATATACTTGTTAAACGTGTATTTTATGTAACAATATGATAAAATATTCCCTTAGACATGTTCAGTAATATTAAGTTATTTTGTATGACTGAAGTTTAAAACTATTTAAGGAACAGAAACACATACTAGTAAATGAATAGATAATGAGAAAATTGTTTTCTACAATGCTTATCCCTTGAGAATGATTAATTAAGTTACCTTAAGGTATATGATAGTCATATTTTATTGTATGAAAGAAGAAAAGAATTATATTTACTGTTAGAAATTAATTTAGGCAGTACTTCCACTTCCATATTTATTGCTCCACAACTTGTAATAGAATCCCCAGTAATATAATATTATTATATTCAATCGTAAAACCTTTAAATGATGATAAGTTACAATACCATTCACTCATAACAGTTTCCAATAAATAATAAAATTTGAAACATGATTTAAAGCATGTTATGGTTCTAATTGTAAATTATAAAATGAATCGTTACGTATTTGAACATTTAAATTACTTTAAAGATATATTATTAACATTATTTTACACTACTACAACTAGTATACAGATAGCTAATACACTATTAGAATGTATTGCATTATAATTATTATAACCAGTACATAGGTATATATGAAAATAATTTATTAATTGTAATTTGAAATATAGTCTAGACTTATAAGACTCGAGTTTAATGTTCGCATAATTCCTTTTCATAGACGGCTATACAGCACTTAAGAGGTAAGCCATTGAAAATAAAGCTAAGTAACAGACGTACCAGCTGTTCTATGATATTATACATAGTGAATGCCCAGGGATTTGTGGCATTATAAGAACATAATAAGACACAATGTTGGAAGCCTTGAAACAATTAAGATTTTAAAGGAAATCCCTCAATATAATACTATCTATTTAACACAATCTGTTGACTTGAAATTGAGACGAATTGTCGAAAAACTGAATCATTGATACTTTGATAAAAATAATTATTTCTTTTAAAATTGCATTGTGTGCAGTTTCGTCAACAATTTCGTCTTTGAGAAACTTAGTGAACAAATTATCTTTCTTATAAGTATAAAAATTATTCAAAATCATAACCTTAAATACAAAGAAAATATTAATTTTATTTATCTTACAACTTCGGGACATCACTATGTCCTTGAGATAATATGATTTCAATCAAATTAATAACTTCGAAGAAATAATATCTCACTGTAACATTATTATGAAAACCTCAGTTTTCCCCAACTTTATTTTTCAACTACAAACAACAAGTTAATATTGAAAATATAAAAAGACAATGGCGACGATAATAATAAGTTAATTATAACTTCTGGAAACTCCTATGAATCTTTTTCACACACTGACACCCACGCATCCCATTCGGGTGTTTTAAAACAGATTCAATATAAATATTTTCTGTCAACAAACGAAAATAGAATATTCATGAACGCTCCCACGAAATATTAAAGCTTTTAATGAGATTAAATTATAATATCCTTGATGTTTGATAACCAATGACTATGATTTTATGTGCCTTACAAATCTCCTTAAAATATAGAAATATGAAGAATATGTTCTCCAAGATTAGTAAGTATCACCTAACTCAATACTTATTGGATAAGATAAATAAAAGTAGTATCAAATTACCTTTATAAGTCCAATGGAAGAATCCGCTCTCTCCAGACTGCAGATGCTGAATTGGATGGATGGAAGATCCAGTCTATGTGAAAGTTGACGTTGGAATGTTTGATGACGATCTGGTACAATAGGAAGCGTAGTTTGGCGCAGCACCTGCGAAGGAATCTTCATTTCTTAAGAAAAATCATCACCTCACTAAAATAACTTCAATAAATACTATATTAAATTCGAAAAATTTAATCTAACAATTTTTCATAATTTATATCGGTTAGAACTTCAAACAAAAACGAAAATTTTACCTTTCTATAATATTAAAAATTAATAAAATATAAGTGAAATTAAAAACTGAAACGAAAAAAGTCTCAGTGTTTAAATAAACATCACAGCTTTATAAGTTTTGACTGTAATTGAATACATCTCAAAGGAGGTAAAAACTGGCCCCAAGGGATAGTCTATATTAGTCGGCTTTTCTTTGCTTTGCACAACTGACTGACGGATAACATTAAAGTTGAAAAAAAAACAGAAATATTTTATTTCCAAAAAAATCTGTAATGTTTCTTAGAGAAACAAATATAACGGATCTACAACTAACTGATTATAACTCACTTGTGATCAGCAAATATGAAATTAAACTGAATTGCGAAACTACTTTTTATTTCTATAAAAGATTATTTAGTAACACCAATATATTCAATTGAAAAAGTTATAAAAGTCAAATCAAAGAGTAACGCTTGACTGGCTTGACTGTCAATACACTTTTTGGTAAAATAAATTAAAGCTTTAGGTGATGAACGCACTATCGAGCACTAGGACTATGTCAGGAGTAGCCTTTTCACTGTACCAAAGCAGTGATTAAAAGATAAAATAGACGATCATTTTTTCCTACCCTTTGTCACAAGCCTTATTAAATAAAAAATGTATATAGTGTCGCCAGGATACAATAAAGGTTTACTTCTTCAAAGGACTGATAGATGGACTCTTAAAAAGAACCACTGTTCTGAAGAGTACCAAAATAGAGCCAGATCAGCAGTCACACTAAGATGACCAAAAAATCAAGTTATATCCTGAACTCCTTTGTGCTACCAGTAGATAGCGGCATAAACTATTTTATCCATTCCTGTATCCAACAGCTACCAGAAGATCAATAGAAATGGTTTTCAAAGTATCAGAGACACTCGCAGCTAGTAAATATTAATATACACATACCCCGCCGTAATGAAGAAAGTTATGCTCCGAAGAATAACTTGGGCATTAACCCTACATTACATATTGAACCATATCTGGTACAATCATAATAATTAAAGAATGAAACATCTGTAGGATATAAAATATACGTCTCCATTAAAAAAACTAAAGTACTAGTTTGTAGGCGATTGAGAACTGACAAAAGATTACAGTGCAGTTCTCCGATATTATGAAATGACTTTGAGCAATAGTTGCGTTTTTAAATTTATTTTTCAAATTAAAAGAAGTAAGTTGAATAAAAGTTTGAAATTGTAGCTCAATAACACTAATAGAATCGCCGTACCATTAGGGACCTGATCTGGAGACTGTGGGAATATCTGAACCCTAACACAAGTTGGCCATCTGGTCTTCTCTGTTGGTTACTAACTTGTACAATGGAACCATCCTGGCTTATGAGTGGCTAGCCTTCTACATAATTGGACCTACTATTAACCGCGAAAATATGGCGAAGCACGAATGTTTGGATTTCACTTCCCTCTATAACCAAAAAACGAGACATAGCGAAAATTTTGAATTTAGCAAATTTGAAATTTTCATCAGAATTCAAACCGGAACTTGACCAATCTGTTCGCGGTATAACTCTATCTGATAAGTGGTAACTATGCCAACAGCCGGTGTGATGGCCTCCCACTAAAAACATATTTCCTATTTTTCAATGAGCAACAATTATATATCTAAAAAAGTTATAAATTATATTTTACTAAAACAAAACAATATATCAACTATAAGGAATTAATATTGAATTCAAATATTTAACAAAACATTAACATCCAGAAATCCAGATTAGGTAAAAGCACAAAAAAATAAAGACTGAAACACGTATTCCACAATATCTAGTATTCAAATCCGTTAAGCCTTTCTTTCGTATTACCAACAAACATCCATCAAAAGTTTTCCTTAATACTTACTACATTTGTATTCCTTACGGTATATTATAAGATAGATACAACAGATTACAGGTGAGTAAAATAAATGTTTACGTATCGTGAAAGGATAAACACCGAGGTATAAATTATAAATTTTACTTAAAGGCTTAAATATTAGCAAAGATAATTTCTTACATTTTTTTAAGTTTTACCCATTAGCACCAGGAAGCCCGTTAAGTGTACAAAAATTGGAAATTAATCAGATTTATTTGAATGAAAAGTGGAAATGTATTTATACCATTCCAGTTTATGCGAATCAAATATTTTATTACGAGTAGAATCTTTTGACGTTTTAAAATAACATAGATATTATTTTAAAACAACATATATTAATAATGTATATATAAAAAAGTTCTGCCATAATTAAAAGAATACATAAAGTATTGCAGTGTTATATTCGAAGCGAAATTGCAAAGAAACCTTTTAAATTACAAAAAAGACATGAATTTTTGGGTGAATGAATATACATATTGGTTATTTTATAATATTACAGGGCATAAAAAAGTGAAAATTAAAATTTTATTATCTTTTATCATAAAATTTTTGTGTCAGTTAAATGATAAAAAGCAAAAAGCATCTCGGCCATGTTTATGTAAAAGATAAAGATATTTTCCTATTATTAGAGAACAATGGTTTTTTCTTACGAGAGTATGCTGAAAAATATTCCCAAGGTAATCAAAACACATTTTTTTTACCACATTTACTGCAAATAAGTCGCAAGTCTATATTAATTATTATTGAAAAGTTCAAAACAGTTCAGCCGCAAATATATGCAATATTTAAATATTATTCTTGGTTATATTTAAAAATCTCATAATTATTAGCGGTATACAGAATCTCTCTAGTCAATATACATACGTATATATACTTTGCAGCCACTATTATAACATTCAAGTAATTATAAATGATGTCATTTATAATTACTTGAACTGTCCTGAATCCCTACTAATATTACAAATGCGAAAGTAACTCTGTCTGTCTGTCTGTAGTTCGTTACGCTTTCACACCTAAACCACAGAACTGATTTTAATTAAATTTAGTACAGAGATAGAGTTGACCTTGACAAAGAATATAGGATAGTTTTTATTCCAGACCTTTGAAAGCTTCTATTGGAAACTCGGTATAACCGAACTCTTGTAACGAGTCTTGGTAATTTTGTTTCTTAAGCCTTCTCGTTGGACATAAGTGAAACCACTTTGTCCTGTAACTAATGTAGTTCTATATTTAATGTAAATTTTCCTCAATTTTCAATTTTTAGTCCTATTTAACTTTAGTTCAAGAAAACTATTAAGGGTTAAGTCTTTTAAATTGTCATAAAGGTTCATATTATATCTCTTCATGCATTCATTTAAAAAATCAAATATTCAATTTCGAGGTTATTAATTATTATTTTATACAAAATAAAATAACACGAAAAAGTTATTTTTTTTTATTTGTTAATTGGGATGATTAAAACTTCTTGTGCAGAATTCGAAAATTTAAAAATATTATGTTTAAATTGTTATTAGGGCTATTTTTATTCTTTATGTCGATTATTTTGTTTGAAAATTCGATCAAAACTATTTATTTTTTCTTATATATTATCGCTTTTGTAATATCACTTCGATATACATAGTTTTTCATGTTAGTAATGTACCTAAATTGTAATGCTTTGTTGTACTTGAACATAAGACCTGCTGAGATCTTTGTATATTGTTGAGAGCTTTTTGTTGTTTCACATCCAACCGAAAAATTAATCTTAACGAAAACGTTTTAAGGAAATTGTTTGGTTAAATATCGTGTTTTTTTAACTGTTTCGTTATCGACATTTTACTCTGTCATATTTTTTCTAAACGTATAAGTATTTATTTTTTACAAAATTTCTTTTTGGATGTGAATGAATGGAAAGATGAGTACCTAAAAGTAGTTTTTAATAACTAACTGACTAAAGCTTTATTTATTAAACCATCAGACTTAAAACCGACGAACAAAAAAGCATTCTAAAACAAAAAGCATTTTCCACTTAAAGATTCCAGTAGAACGGAAACTTCAATCTTTAGAGGTAGACGCGAAAAAAGGGAAACGCAAAATGGAAAACAAATCATTCCTTTCTACGTTACTTGAAATCCCAGATAAATACACCCTTATATACTTGCAAATAGGGTTCATTTCATATAGCGCTGAAACATCAAATGAATAAAAATCTTAAATTCAAAAACTAAATTAGAGCAAAGATTTCAAAATGACATTGAATTGTTACTTTTACCACAACAATAAATATTTACTTATGATTTTAATGTCAATTATCTTAAACAATTATACAGTTATATATTGTATAACAGTATATTCTTCGTAAAAATACTTTTATACTAATAAGATATAAGACTAAACTAATATTAACGGACTACTACATATATTTTTAGAACATAGTCCCGACGTTTCGATTACTATGCAGCAACCGTGATCACATCTCGTCTGCCCGTGACCACGGTTGCTCCAAAGTAATCGAAACTTTCAGACTGTTTCGAATTGATTTATAATAGGGTAAATACATTTGTTTTTATAAACCTACCTTCTTTCCGGCATCTTTGTGTTCCTGTACGTACTCTTGTTTCAAGGGTTCAGTCTGTAGATCGGGGAGTGAGTGGCTTATGCGAATAGCTGCTTGACGGGAGAGGGAATCACAATTGCTATCTTCAGAATCACGTCGAGTCCTGATGGTGAGATTATTTTTTTATTTAAGGATATAAAATAAACATAAGGCACAATCTAAGCTAAAGAATAAAAATTAGATATTATAATTTCCATATTACACTATTAAACAACTTTCCTTTCATATTATATATCGTTTAAAGAATTTATTTGGCGTAAAATAATGGATCTACGCAAATATTTTTAAAAACTGCTGCATGTTATTCAAAATATCATCCATCAGCGTTGTAAAGAACCCGGCGGGTTATCGATTATTCACATTGGAGACAGAGCATATTACATTTTACAGTTTTCATTTAAATTACATTCATTGCAGTGAATATGATTTTTTTTTTATTTTTTTATTTAACCACAACACTACTCTAGGTAACAAGTTTAATTTTTTTATTCTTTGATAAGATCTTAAGTTATATATAACATACATTTTTTTTATGTCGTACAAAATTTTAAGCAAATTTGGGTATAAAATTGATAAATTTGAAGTATAAAATTGAAAACATTGAAATTTAAAAAGATCGTTGAGGATATCAAACACGTTCCTTAGTAATGACAATATAGTGTCAGAATTGAAGTATCTTCTACTATATTTAACAATTTATTTAGAACTTTTTTTAAACACCTAAAAACCACTGAATGATAAAAAATACCAACTATATTTACAAACGGAAATATTTACTAAGAAAATTTTCAATACAGTTTCTTCATATTTTTTATATAACTTTGATACTTCATAATCATTAAAACCCAATAACTAAAACCAAAACTAAGTTAGTATTTGTCGAAACCGTGTGTGGGCTCACGGAATGAAAAATGGAAATTCACAAATAAACAAATGGCCTCAACGTTGCACTACATTACGAAAAAATCTTTTCATAAAAATATGTTACATACAGAAAGGTTTTATGTTAAATAATAATGGAACTTACCTTCCCATAATCCACCTCCAAGTAGCAGCACATTGGTAACCAACAGCAGCCAGAAGAACGGCCGCCATTGCTGCTAGCATCAACGCTGCTGCGTAGTCCACTGAGTTTGATCTCACGTTCGTTTGTAGTTCCAAACCTTCAGGCGGCCAAACCTCTGTAGACATTGAAAAAATCAGTAAAGACTAATAACAAGAATATTTTTCTTCAGTACGAAATAACAATACAATCATCTAATAAATTAAATTCCTAAGTTGTGATAAATCGTCACAATATTCTTAATAGTATTTGATAACTTAAAGCCATCATTTTAATCGTGAATTTAATTTACACCATAAAAATATATTTTAAAATGTATCCAAACATTTTAATCCGGGGTTTTATAACAACATGCAGATATTTTAACACAAAATTGATATTTAAGTTTATTTATTTTGTATTTATCCCCAAATCCTTCATAGCCCACTCTCCCAATGTCAAGTTCATTGGCGCCGGTAAATTAACGTTCTAATTTATTTAACGCCTCTCAAAGACGAAGTAACTTCTTGTAAATATTAAGATCTGATTAAATTCCTGAACGTGAGAAGTGTGAATATCATTACTTTCCACTTTATTGATTTCCAATTATAATATTTTTAGAAATCAGAAGCAGATATATTAAAAAAAGAAACAATTTTAACACTTGACCTAGTTATTTAGTCTCGAAAAGTAATTTTAACAACAAAATTAATTAAATAGAAAGAACAAAATCCTAAACTTAATAATTATTAAACGCTTTAACAAAACTACACGACCGGTGTTTTCATTACGAACGCCAAGAGCTAAGAGACAAGTGACAAGTGGCGGTTTGAATGCTTCTTTTATAAACAATCGTGTGGGTAGTTCTTTTATAAATAATGACAGTGGTAAGCTGATTGCTTATACGGCCTCTCCTGACATAGTGGCGTCCTCGACACGAGCTTTTCATTGATCGTCACTTGATCCAGCGCCATCCGCTTCAACGTCTTCGTCCAGCAACGGTATCGAAAGACTGACCCCTGGCTGTAGTAGAGAGCCGCTGGGACCAGTAGTATAGAGCCGCTGGGACGCTAACGGCTCCAAGCTCTGAGGTCACATTGAAGGAAGGCATCGAGGGTCCTATCCCCGAAGATAGTGCTCTGTCCGGTGACTCGTCTTCACTATTATTCTCATCAGCAAATCTGTTACTGTTATTAGGAATTAAGTTTAGTCTGTGTGACATTCAACCTTACAAACATTCCATCCATCGTTATTCAATCAATTCAAACTTCATCTATCACACAATCATAGCAACACGTATTTTGCCACCCTTTAAATAATAACAAAGTCGTTTCTTAAAACGACAAGTTGAGTATAGGTGCTCTTCTTCACGGCAGTAGACTCCATTCAGTATAACTGAACTTTCATGAACGCCAATACAGTATGTCTGTAGTCCAACGAACGCCAAGAAAATACGTCTGAAGTTCGAAATAGACGCCAAGGCGTTGAGCCTGAAGTCTCACCACTGAACGCCAAGGCCAAGCTGGCCTGTAGTTCTTACAGCAAAAATATAGACGCCAAGGCTTTGAGCCTGAAGTCTTAACACTGAACGCCAAGGCCAAGGTGGCCTGTAGTTCTTACATCAAAGATATAGACGCCAAGGCTTTGAGCCTGAAGTCTTAACACTGAACGCCAAGGCCAATCTGGCCTGTAGTTCTTACAGCAAAAATATAGACGCCAAGGCTTTGAGCCTGAAGTCTCAACACTGAACGCCAAGGCCAAGGTGGCCTGTAGTTCTTACATCAAAGATATAGACGCCAAGGCTTTGAGCCTGAAGTCTTAACACTGAACGCCAAGGCCAATCTGGCCTGTAGTTCTTACATCAAAGAAATAGACGCCAAGGCTTTGAGCCTGAAGTCTTAACACTGAACGCCAAGGCCAATCTGGCCTGTAGTTCTACATCAAAGAAATAGACGCCAAGGCTTTGAGCCTGAAGTCTTAACACTGAACGCCAAGGCCAATCTGGCCTGTAGTTCTTACAGCAAAGATATAGACGCCAAGGCTTTGAGCCTGAAGTCTTAACACTGAACGCCAAGGCCAATCTGGCCTGTAGTTCTACATCAAAGAAATAGACGCCAAGGCTTTGAGCCTGAAGTCTTAACACTGAACGCCAAGGCCAATCTGGCCTGTAGTTCTTACATCAAAGAAATAGACGCCAAGGCTTTGAGCCTGAAGTCTTAACACTGAACGCCAAGGCCAATCTGGCCTGTAGTTCTTACATCAAAGAAATAGACGCCAAGGCTATGAGCCTGAAGTCTCAACACTGAACGCCAAGGCCAAGGTGGCCTGTAGTTCTCATATCAAAACTCGTGCATACTCTTAAAGAAGGCTGCACATGACTCGGGACACCATCGCCACGCCAAGGCACCATGTATCATGCCGCAGTTTGTGTAGTCTCCCCGTAGCTGCCACTCAGTAACTTGAGCTCATATCGTCCGTTCAATAGAGCTCTGACGACTCGGTAGGGTCCACGCATTCCATCTGAAGTACCCAGCCAGCCCTAAGAACTGGCGCGCCTGTCGAACACTTTAGGGGATCTGTGAACTTACAAGAGCTTCGACCTTATGTGGGCTCGGCCCTACCTGACCCTGACTTACAACTCGTCCAAGATATTCAACCTCCGTTGTTAAGAACGAACACTTACGTAGGTTTATAGAGAACCCAGTTGTAGTAAGCGTTTGGAGGACTTTTTTTAAAAGAAAAATACTTTCAACGATTGTGGAGCTCCTTATGAGGACGTCATCCACGTAAGCCAGGACCTGACCTGATTTTTCTGGGGTAACGAACCCAGTCAATCTATTCAAAACCCTAAAGTCAACGCATAGGCGGTCCGAACCATCCTTTTTCTTAACGAGTATGACCGGACTCGCGTACTGTAAGTTTGACTCCCTGATAATTCCTTTTTCCAAAAGCTCGTCTATAATTTTGCGGACTCGGAGATTTTCATTGTAGGAAAGCTTATAGGGTCGGTAAACCACTGGGGTTATATTCGTTAATTGAATATTCATTTCACCGGTGTTAACAGTAGTTGTAGCTGTTCCAGCGATAAGAAACTCTGAGAACTCCTTTATGATTTTAAGCAACGATTCATAACTCCCTTAAGGGGCGTGTTTATCTCAAGACACCGTACCGTGTTAATTTGAATAGGGGAATCAGTAGACCTCGTCAAATATTGATCATCTTTAGTGCGAATATACATGATACCATAGTGATTTAGTATATCCGTTCCTGCAATAATCGGTGCGTTCATACACGAAGAAGGGACTATAAGCAGATTCGCCTCAATTGAAATTTGACTTAACTCGAGAGTAACGGTCACATAAGCTTTGACTACTATTTCTTTTTCGCTTATACCCTTTAAAATACAGTTGGTAGACTTCGGTTGGCTGGCAAGGTACCTCAGCACGTCCGAGGAAATAAGTGACACGTTAAGAGCACCGCTATCAATGATAGCATCCATGGGAATGTCATCTACCACAACAACAACAATATCACTTGCACCCGCATTTTTAGAATTATTATCCGCGCAAAGGTTAACGTTTCTCTCGTTTCGCTGTTTAGAACGATTTTTAGCAAAACAATCTTCTTCCTTGTGTCCCGGCTTTTTACAAACAATGCATGTAATACTGCTCGAGTTTCTAGCGGAAAGTGTTTTATTATCTGTGCTTGGCTTTGAGTGACAATAACTGTTAATATGTCCCTTACGACCAACACGAAACACTTCTGTTCGTTACGATTTGGTTGATTAAAATTTCCATTAGTTACCGAAGTGTGGGTGGATAGTAGTTTTCGCACGACCTGGTTTAGTATAAATTGATAAAAACGAAACTATTGTTTCCGGATTCAAATGTGCATTAGCAGCGGCAGCTCTTATTTGAGGATTGTCAATACCGCGGATCACTATTAAAGTCATAAGGTCCTCACTTAAACCGTTAACTATTCGTAAACGTAAAAGAGTGCGTCGTGCGTATTCTGCATAGGTAACGTACTTATCAGATGTGGTATTCATAGTTTGAAAAAGGATGTTAGCGTAATCTAACTTGCGTGGGCATAGTGATTTGAATTCGCGTTTGAAATTTGTTCACGTGCGATTGGTCGTAACCCATTCGTTTAGCCAAATTTTTGAGTCACCCTTGAGACACGAACCACTACGAGATAGACACTCAGAATCAGTCCAACAATTTGCCACCTGAGCGCGATCAACCTCGTCGCACCATGATTCTATGTTACGAGTAGAAGGATTAAAATTTGAAACAAAGTAATTGTGTGACCTGATTGGTTGCAATAATTTGAGAGCATCTACTAGGGCCCTGGTTGAGTCGGGCGTGTCTGACTCTAAGTTACTTACTTGTGGTGTAAATGTGTGGGTATTCGGTAAACAATTTTTAGTTCGTGTGTCATGGGTACTCGCCTGAGGCTCCGGCGTGCAGCACCTGGCCACGTTTGATTGTAATGTGTTCAACTCGCTCTCGGTGGTATTACACGTAACACTGGGATCACAACGCACAATTGTTTTTTTTTGAAACACTTGTTACGCAATTATTTTCTATCGACGTTAAACGATTCATGATTGAATTCAGTGTATTCTGAATAGAAACATCCGTGGTATTTTGAATGCGCAGGGACAGCGACCTATCGTTGTGGCGATTACGGTGGCGTACACTATCATGACGCGACGTATTACGAGTTCGCGCACGGGTTTTACTTCGAATTCTGCTGCGTGAACGACACGCTGAACGGCGGTTATTAATTGAGGTCTTAGAACGGCTACGCGAGCGATATCGCGATCTACAACTCGTACGGCTGCGAGAACGATGTCGCGGCCAACGCTCATTACGGCTAGATCTGCCAGCCATATCAAAATGAACACGAGAACTAAAAATATGTGTAAAAGACTTTGTTCCTCCTTTCTTGTGGGCAAAAAGTTACTTATCCCACTTCTGATTTTAGAAATCAGAAGCAGATATATTAAAAAAAGAAACAATTTTAACACTTGACCTAGTTATTTAGTCTCGAAAAGTAATTTTAACAACAAAATTAATTAAATAGAAAGAACAAAATCCTAAACTTAATAATTATTAAACGCTTTAACAAAACTACACGACCGGTGTTTTCATTACGAACGCCAAGAGCTAAGAGACAAGTGACAAGTGGCGGTTTGAATGCTTCTTTTATAAACAATCGTGTGGGTAGTTCTTTTATAAATAATGACAGTGGTAAGCTGATTGCTTATAATATAATTAAGTATTGAATTAAACAAGCGATTATTTAGATAATTTAGTCATTAATAGTATTGGTTAACTTTATTAAGAATAATTTATGTCTGTTTTAATTCCTTCTCTTCTTAAAGTTACAAGAAAATAATTACTAATTATGTCACAAAAGTGAAGCTGAAAAGTAATAATAATTACTAGTAGTACTGTAATTCGAAGTAATGCTTCTTAAGGCTTTTCATTACGAGCTAATTGTCTAATAATTGAATACCTTAGAGACTATTACAAGAAAACTCATTAAAATACATATATATAAATGAAAAAAATCGTATTGGTAGTGTTTTTCTAAAGACAAATATAATGTCTGTAATAAAACAATTGAAGATTTTACATTCAATAACAAACTATTACTATTTACACAATGACTATCACAGACTCTACTCGGAGTTTGACAAGACAAAGACCCTAGAAATATGGTGTTCCATTAATCATAACGCCAAAGACATAAGCCAAGTAACGTTAGATACAAACATATTTCTAAATTTATTACAAAATAATATTAAAGATTTAATTTGAGCACATTAAGCTTAATTGACGTCAATTTAATAATAATTATGTAAGCGTTTTTTTTTCAAAAGATTTAACTTGTAATAAAAATTATAAATGAAGTAGACTCGACGCGGTGTTCAATATTGAAACTCAGCAAAATGTCAAAGTCTGAATTAGGCGAAGTGAAAACTAATTACAATTAGAACAACTTTATATTGAACACTTTTAAGATAAACGTCTTCCAAAGTTTTGATCTGTTCTCGTTAAATAAATTACAAAATATTACGTTAAATTCCCTCGATTGTTTCAAAATTGGGTCACATTAAATATAATATGAGTTTTCACTAATTGGGATATAGACATCGTATCTCAGCTTCCGCCAATTACTAACATATTCGTTTATACACCCAAAGTGTTTATCTTGTTAAGCTAACGAAGGGTAGTAAAGGACGGGGCTTCAAAGACTCATCAAAATAAATGGAAAACAATTGCCTAATAAAGACCTTGCTATAATGAACACATTATTTTCTATTTGGGATAATAATAACTCATAACTATCTTATATATAGTATTTGTAGTTTCTAAGCATTTTTTTCCTCCACATCTTCACAAACATTGTCAACAGTAACGAGCCAACCCAAACGGTATACGTGTATTGAATAACACAATATAAGTTCCAATAAACGATAAATTATTCATTTTATTCCAAACACAAAATAGAAGTCCTGCAAATTGTTAATATTAATAATTTCACATGAGAAGATTTAACTTTGTAATGGATATATTAAAAAGTAAATAAATAATACAGATTTCATAAACATGTATTGAACAAAATACTTATCTATTTATATATGTATATTTTGACAAAAAAAATATTTGAAAAAATATGTACATATAGATTAATTATATTTATAATAATAATTATTGTTATAAATATCTAAAATATAATTGTTTGAAAATACCCAATATCTGAACAAAACGTATTAGTTCGATAATTTTTTACAAACATACTTAATTTTTGACTTATTTAATTCCCCGCTTGTATTTTTTTTATGTACCGTTATAAGACTGTATTTTCTTTTTTAAGTCACTAATACTCAATTTGCCAAAAAATGAATCTATGGCTCTCACAATGACAAATTAGTATTATTATTATTTGTACATTCTAGAGGATAATTTGTTCACAACTGATATGATGTCTTTATTATTTCCATTGTATGTGTCCTCAATTCCATTAAAGTTTTATTATAATATTCCATTGAAGTTTTATTATAATAAATTTCATACATTAAATATGAAACAAATAAATTACTTCATTAAAGCGGAGTAAAATTTAAGACAAATGTCGCACATATGAAATTATTATCATAAAGTCAAGACGCTTAACTCACAACACCATATATTTTCTAGTAAAAGCGTATTCATTTCCAAACACCTAGCGTTCCACTTTCCTGTAGCTGCTTACATCTTACGAAAAGGCAAAGGCTTTATAACAAAGGACTCTTTAAATACTAAAACAATGGAAATGTCACTGTTTGAGATTTCCACTTTGTCATTGTTGCTCATATGCATTCATATACCCTTAGTGAAAAACAAATAAAACCTAAAATTTTAATCTAAATATCCAGATTTGTTAGCAATAAAAACTAGGTGTAACTTGTGTATTATGAGACCTTACAGAAAAAAAGCTTTTAAAATAGATCTTTATATTAAATTTAAATGCATTTTGACGAATCATGAATATAATTTTTCATAGCACTTTGGACTTTAACTAAAAATACAAGATGATAATGAATTTTATACAACGAAAGAGTTAAAATAAATATTAGTTAAATTTTCAAAATAACACCTGTAAAATATCTGTTATTACCAAACAGTTCATTAAACATTTGTAAAATTATTCTAATTAATATCCAAAACGGAGGGTGCCGTAGTAAATTATGAGATCGTGTAACCAAAACTTCGTGAGAAACTTTGAAATGGTTAACACACGACAAAATTAAAACGTCGCGTTTTTTTCATAAATAATAAACATCATACAATACCGTAGGCATTTAAAACACAGTATTTAGTAACCATTGAATAGCTGAACACGAATAAGAAGACGCCTAAAATATCGTTATGTTCTACAAAAAAAAAACGCTGCGACTGATTTTGCATGTGTTATTTAGACTAATCTCCTAGCGAAAACTTTCAGCCACAACTTGGACAATTCTACAGAAATACTGTTGGTTTTAGTACTTAACACTTAGTAAAGTAATATTTGTCTCTGTAGATTTATGTGGACCCAAGTGTAGGGGGAAGGAAAAGTCGAGACGTTTCAAAATTATTTTCATATTTACAAACCCAAAATTAAACCGAAGGCAAAATTTATATCTTTTAATATAACGTTTAAGTTGTATAAATATAAAAAAGATTCACACTATCAGTATAGACATATGTAGTAGAAACTTAGAATAAAGTATCGTTCTCAAAATCAAAGGTACTAGTGAAATAATTCCTTGTCATGTCAACAAGATTAATGCTGCAGGAGAAATCTAGTAATTACGTTTCCTTGAACCCTGATTTGCATACACTTTATATGCTTTACCTAAAACCGCCATCCAAAAAACAATTTGAATTTTATCTCCCCGCAGTATCCGCATTCGCATTATAAAACAGGGCTTACAAAACAATAAATCAAATTAACCACAGATATTTTCTGAGAATATCTTTCAGATTTTACACGTATTTTATAAAATAAAATAAACTTGGTTAATATATTGTAAGTATATTTTTAATAAAATTGTTAAATATACAACTTTTTTTAGATGTTTTGAATTTACATCTAGTATTTATTCGATTTGTCTACAATAATATTTAAAATGGCAATTGTTACTCCAATTAATTATCTTAAACGTATTAACTTTTCATTAAAATGATAATTTTGACCAATTTTAGACAATACTTTAATATTATTTGACAGGAATTCTTAGGAGATTTCATAAATGACTCATTGTTGTCTTTACTTTCATGGAGACTTAAAAAATGTTAAAATTTTTAATGTATTAAAATTATTAAATAAATAAAAGTGTATTTCTTATTTCTCCGTATTTTATGTTATAAGGTGTTCATCCTAAATTTTGAAACAGCCTTGATTGCAACTTAGCATCAGATCGATAGACCAGTTTCTTGTAGTATTAATAAAAATTCAAGTGAGAAGTGAACCGTAAGCACTATTTGTTTTCTTCTATTAAATTCATTTCAACTAGCTATCATTCATCAAATAAAAATAGCATTCAATAAAAATAGAGAACTGTAAAAATAAAAGCTATTTATTATATTTCATCTGTACAATTTTATATTGAATTGAACCTTATTGTTTCTGAATATAAATTTCACATTTTATGATAACGATATATGATAACAGTAACAGCAAGTTCTTTTAAGTTAAATTCAATAGAAAACTAAATAACTAAGGAATGCAGAAAACATTCAAGCAATTAAGAAAGATAAATATAACGTATCATTCAAGTACACATAATAAAATTGCAGTATTTCTATTTCAATTTCCATTAATGAACATACAAAGGTTGTTTTGTGTCTTATATACTGCAAAATCAAGATCAACGCTCTAGAATATCTTAAGGATGAAAATCTGTACAGATTTTTTATTTAAAAAGGAGTAGAATATGATGCTTTGAATTTAGTATTTGTGCTATTGTTTCTGTTATATTTTTGACAGGACTGATAAGCTCTCGCGTACTTTCACAAGGTTGTGTTTGAACTAAAGTATTATTAAGCTTAATCATTATATTATCATGCTTTGATATTATGGTGCATGTGCTTCATTTATTTCTCTTCAATATTATATTTAAGTTAACTCATTTGATTATCTAACAAATTGTAAATTGTTAACAATAACAATAAAAACAAAATTTCCTAATATTTTTTTTGGATATAATTAACAAGACATTTTGTGCCTAATGAAATATTTAAATGTTTTTGATTTTTCTGAAATGCTTTATTTAACCTATGGATTTCTAGTAAACAACATTTTTCCATCTAATAATATGAAACAAAGGAGAGATTA